GTTTCTTACATGGATTATAATTAGTAGATTTTCATTATTGTTTAAAAATTGGATACAAATGTATTTTTCACTTGATAAAAGCTAATCTTAACTACAGTTGGCCGTCATTGTTTGTTTTCATTATGAAGTGTAGAGCCAAGGAAAACTATCCTAGTATACAAAAAGTAGAGAGTTATCGCCAAAGTCTTGATCAAATACGGCATCCTTATTTTGACAGCTAAGCATGCGCATTAATATTTTAGTAAGAATAACAAGAATAAGGTATTTCCTTATTTTTGGAAAATACGGAAACCTTATAATTGGAATACGGTCACTTGTATATTCCGCTAATGTCATTCGGATCGTAAGAAGATGGAATGTTTCTCGCATCAAATAGAATTTATTCTGAGATGCTTTTGCTTTTTTCAAGCGGGTAATGAAATTTTAAAAGTATGAATTTGAATAATAAAACTAGTTTAAAATTTATATCAAAAAATAATTTAGTACTGGTGAGAAGTGTTGAATTCGTTTAAAGATCCTAATCGATGGGAAATATAATGTAATGTAAATAAGAAGGAACATATTTTTCTCTTGTGAGAAACCATCTAAATATTTTATTATTGCAAGAAAAAGAAGAAGAAGAAGAAGAAGAACAATAATTTTAATAGGATATTCGATTATTATTTGAGTTTTAAACTCATGCCACTTTCACAAAATACTTTTAAATTTAAATGTACTTTAAACTGCTTAAAACAAACGTCTAATAGATTCAGCTCAGCCATCAGCGTTACCGTATAGAATGACATTTGCGATAACACTCATTTTTGTTTGGACCTTAGTCTGAAGACGTTTGCTGTACGTTTGCTGAACAAGTTCAAATGCTGAGAAGACTTTGATAATCTTGTATAATACAGTGAAATGCTGTACATAAGGCAACCCTAGTGTATATAAGTCAGAAAAAAAAATGATACCTAATACCTAACACGATTTAATGTGAAAAATTCGCAATTTAGATTACACTTAGCAAGAAAAAATTGGAAGAAACTTGCTAGGGTTGTGGGTTTTTCAAAATTCAAGTACATAGACAAACAAAAAATAACAATATTATAAATAACTAATAAAAAAAAACTATAGTGTTAGAGTCAGCGAATTACGATATAGCTGCCACTGGGGTCGACGGTACCACGTCTGCCCGTTGCAGTGTCCAGGACCAGTAGAGCGGGGACTTGACTTTCGATAAGCCGAACGCGATGCAATGATAGGCCCTTTAAAGACATTCTTTATTTTGTTCCTTAATCAATTACATTTCAAACATTGTTTACAAGATATTTAATAAAACATTATAAAACCATGTTAACACGTCTTTTGTGAAGTGACTATACAGGGTGTTATAGCATACAGGGTGATAAATCATTTTAAAACAATAATTTTGAAGTTAAATTCTTTTAACTTCTAACAATAGGCTTACATTTTTCTTTGTGCTGAACAATAATCTTGCTTCATTTTTCGAGTTCGACGGCTTGTTTTGCCAACTTTGGCGCAACCCTGACAATGCCATTCGCAAAACTGCTTTACTTGCCTGCGTGCAATAATGTCTTTTAGTGGCGCCTCGTTTTTCGTCGTCTGATTTACATATAGATGAGCAATCTATACGACTATATATCATTGGATTTTTCCCTTCCAGTACACGAGCGCATCTTAATTTTATACATGTTGGTGGACATCAAAGATATCGGATAATAGATACGCCTTGTATAATACATTACACTTGTCCGCAACATCTTTTTAACTGTACGCTCTTCCTATATTGTCAGATCTCTTTCATCAAATATCAAGCATTAAATTTTTATTAAAGAATTACTATTTCCTTTAATATAATCTTTAATATAATAATATAATCTTTAATATAATTTTGCTGATGTTGTCAAAGTAACAGTTCAAGTATTATTGTGATTTTTTGTAGTTTTCAAGAATAATTTAAACCCTGAAATTTTTAATGACTACTACGATGGCGGGGAAATGTGTAGCGTGCCGAAATACGCAGAATAAGAATGTTATTCGGTCACAGTGTTGCCAACCCTACGGATTTTTCCGTAGATCTACGGAATTTTAACTCTGTTCTCGGATATACGGATAAAGAACCCAAATCTACGGATTTTTACAAATAAACCCAAACATACTCAGTAAAAATTTTAAAACATACTTTTATTGATAAAAGGTAATTAAAATATTATTTCCTATAACCAAGAAAATTATACTAACGATAAGTAAAATTTTCTTCCAATTTATATCGACATCAGCGTCCAGAAAATCAACCTTTTACACTTTCTTCAGAAGATAACTAAGGACTTGATGTTGGTTATTTTTAGGTTTATCCAAAGTATTTTGTGTTTTATTTTTAGATTTTAGTTCTATTATCAGAAATTAGGTTATTTTATTTTTTAGTTTTTTTAGGTTATATATTTTTGTTTACAATAATTATAAGCCAATAATCAGTTATTAAAAAAAAATATATAAGTATCTAATATATGTATTATTGTTTTATTGCAAATACATAAATTTTAGTTTTATGTAAAGTCGACAAGACAAACATCTTTATTTTTATTTTAAAAATATTTTAATCAATCATTTTGTAGCAAAGAAAAATCTACGGATTTCTACGGATTTTTCGAACCCTTCCTACGGATTTACGTATCCAAAAAGTTGGCAACACTGTTCGGTCATTTCATAAGTAAGATTACGTTAGCATAGACGTAGGCATAATTTATTTAACAATGTAAAGGCATTTAGCACTAGCATTGTTTATTTAAATAATAATGTTCTATAGTTTCTGATCAGGTTTCCTAGAGAAATTATTCAACGTAGAATTTGGCTAGAATCTATGCTTGGTAGAGGAAGACATTATAAAAATGAAAGAAGCCTTAGTATGTTCTGGCCAGCATCTTGGATTGTAGCAGTACTAGCAGCAAAATTGCGTTAAATTTAAAATGTTACGAATCAGGCACTTCTGAAGAAAATTTGGAATTTACAAATGAGCTTAGTGACCATGATTACGTATCTATATATTTCCTGAGCGAATATATAAACATACACAGTAATAATATTATTAACACTGCCAATATAAAATGTAAATTACTAAATAGTTCTATGAGATATTTGCCTTCAAATATTTTTGATGTTTTTTTAACCATATTTTTGATTTTGAACCACTTAATTTTAATAAATATATAGACATTCGACTTCATTATGAATTTAATAAATTAAAAACTGTTAATAAAGCCAGAGTGAGAAGTTTACTTACAAAAAGCATTTTATTTCAGAATCACTAATTTTTAATTTTAATTATTTGTTTTTATAATTTTTAAGTAACTCGTTCCATAAAATGCTCTTATTCTTATTCTTTATGTAAAATATTTTAATACATGTCCATCTACTAACAGTAGATGGACATAGACGATACTAATTTTTTTATTGAAGACAATAGTTATAGTAACTGCATTTAACAAAAGTAAAGAGATAGTCAAAAGATTCACAGGTTATTGTTCGGACAATGGCCTAGTAATTAATACCTCGAAAAAAATTTTTTTACGATCACTATCCAAAGTAGGCTTTTGCACATTCAAATCTAATTAGAAAGTTGACGTTTTTCGCGAATTGTCATAATTTGACATTATTGACGCAAACGTGCGCCAAAGTAACTTTGGCACACGCTTGTCTGTTTTCATTTGAATGAAATAAATTAAAGCTAATCGGTATTTTAAAACAAAATGTAAGCTAATCTAAAATATTAAATTGACTTCCTAATATTTTAAATCATTTAACATTATTTTCTGTAAATAATTAAATGAATAAATCATAAATAATTACAGACACATAAGTACTAAAACCTTTTCTCTTCGACAGATTGCCGTGCTCCGCTAACGCGTCGCCCGGCCACTTTCTGTCTCAGCTTCCAGGTGCTACTTTCTGTTCTTAATACACAAATAGCTATTTTGTTTTTTATCCCAAAATATGCTTTACAAAATATCAGTTATCTTATAACACTAAATAAATCTTTGAGCAGTTTCTTCACCACGAGTTTGTAAGAATAACCATTGACAGTAAAATAACATTCGAAATGTCACAAAAGAGGCTTCCTTCAGTTTTTTTTTCTATTCGGACAAATTAGAAATACAGTCTCTCTTGACAATCTTAAGCTAATGTATTTTAGCCTTGTCTAGATATTATAAAATCGTTGCTGATTGAGTTATTATACCATTATACAAATAATGCTAAACATAGGTGTCGTGACATGCAACCCAAATGGTATGTAATGGAAAGATCCTATTTGTATATATTTATGTGTCTAAAATAAAATTGTTTTATTGTTTTTAATAAGTTTTTATTTCATAAAAAATTAATTAATCAATATAATTATTCTTTTTTCGACCTGTAGAAAAGGATTTCTGACAATACCCATATAAAATAATAATAAATGGCTTCATATTTTTATTTGCTTTTCATGTATTAAAAAAAAAAAAAAGATAATATATAATAATATACTAACAAAAATGTTCTTCCACTTTTGAGCTACCTACTATTTTAATTTATAAGAAAATATATAAAACTTTTTGAATGCCCTGTATAATTTGAATATGTTTTCTTTAAATTTACCTTTGATTCCAAAGACCCATAGGTTATTGATTTAGTCATTAAATAATTTTTATTAAAAATATATATAAACCCTCCCGAAACACTACGTCTATGTGCAACGTACGATTCCCCTTTCCCCGTCTGGTATATCATGCAGATAGATGGTGTATTGGTTATACAGTGTAAAGGGCGAGTCTATCTTAGATAATATGATGTCTATGATGGACATCATATAAGATTGTCCTCCTTTCCTCTACACACCATTTACTAACGACCTCTTGCGGTTTTTTAGAACTTTACTTAATTTAGGGTTATATTTTTCATAGAGTTTAAGCACTGATAATAACTGCAATTCATCGGGGTAGACATTCAAAATGTTTTTTTTACAGTGATGAGGCTCGAAATCTGGGATTTACCGTCCTGGTGGACATGAGAGGATCAACTTGGTCAACCGTAAAACCCATCTTGAAGGCACTGCACGAGCACTTTCCACCTGGCACCATCCATCAGGCGCTTATAGTAAAGCCGGATAATTTCTGGCAGAAGCAGCGGACGTCACTTGGATCACATAAGTACAAATTCGAGGTAAAATTATTAATTTTCATTCAAATAGTCATCTCTGTTGTATTTATGATTTACAATTGGATTTAATTCTAATTCTATTTATTTAATTCTATTTAATTCTATTTAATTCTATTTAATTCTATTTAATTCTATTTAATTCTATTTAATTCTATTTAATTCTATTTAATTCTATTTAATTCTATTTAATTCTATTTAATTCTATTTAATTCTATTTAATTCTATTTAATTCTATTTAATTCTATTTAATTCTATTTAATTCTATTTAATTCTATTTAATTCTATTTAATTCTATTTAATTCTATTTAATTCTATTTAATTCTATTTAATTCTATTTAATTCTATTTAATTCTATTTAATTCTATTTAATTCTATTTAATTCTATTTAATTCTATTTAATTCTATTTAATTCTATTTAATTCTATTTAATTCTATTTAATTCTATTTAATTCTATTTAATTCTATTTAATTCTATTTAATTCTATTTAATTCTATTTAATTCTATTTAATTCTATTTAATTCTATTTAATTCTATTTAATTCTATTTAATTCTATTTAATTCTATTTAATTCTATTTAATTCTATTTAATTCTATTTAATTCTATTTAATTCTATTTAATTCTATTTAATTCTATTTAATTCTATTTAATTCTATTTAATTCTATTTAATTCTATTTAATTCTATTTAATTCTATTTAATTCTATTTAATTCTATTTAATTCTATTTAATTCTATTTATTTAATTTGATTTAATATTCGATAAGACTATTTTTTAAATTTAAAACTTTTGTTTAGACCAATATTTTCGAGAAACTTGTGCCAGAAAAATAAGTTTTGTAACTGTAAAGTAATCTTTGACATTCCCATTTAAAATTTCTGACCATATCGTGCAGAATTTTAAACTTATAAACAGGAAGAAGCCGCACGGAGCCAGATTCTAGGAAGGGAAAAAACAAAACGAAGTTCAACTTTTCAAATAACTCGTAATCCGTGCCGTGACGTAGAACTGTTTTTATTTTATGTCCTGCGGGGATCATTATTTTTGTAGTTTTAGAATAAATGACAAGAGGATTAAAATTATGATAAAATGGGCTATCGTAGAAGTATGAGCAATGCAAGTTAAAAAACAAAGCGACTGAGAAAATAGTCACAACAAAAGTCAAAATAATACACATAAGGACAAAAAAGGATTTGGCTAAACATTTCAATTACCTAAGTCAGAGACTGGCAATAGTAGTTTTTATACAACTGTGTCCGAGATAAAACAATCGAAAAGAAGAAATTTTCAATAGACTTCAAATACACTGCTGCAAAACGCTTTTATGACCCAGGGCGAAAAAGTCGAGCGCCTCCGATTTCTAAACATTGTTTTTTTATTTTCAGTTTACTTATTAATACTGCTGGCCGTACTTTTTTGTTGTAAAATATGTACTTATTCATAATCCACATTCACATCATGCATACAAGCATTTTTAATGTAATAAGAGAAAAACTAAAACTATAATTACATTGATTTGACATAAGCACACTGATATTGCAGCAATTGTTCATTGTTATCAAATCTATCTATTCTTATAGATCACAATTAAAAGTGGAGATCTACAATGAAGTTTCTGCATGTTTAAAATTAATTTCCTTTTTTTTTTCAGACAAATATGATAAGTATAGAAGCTTTGCCAAAAATAATAGATAGTAGTCAACTGACATCAGACTTAGAAGGCACCCTTCCGTATGATCACGCTCATTGGCTCGAAATTAGATTAGCAATAGAAGAATTCGCATGGCAGGCAGCTGATCTCCTGGATAGACTAGATGATTTACAGGTATATTCAATTTTACCTAAAACATAAATAATATTTATTTTTAAATTTATTTTATCTGTCTCGCACTTTGAAATAAAAAAAAAATAATTAAAAAAGAAAAACGTTTTCATCTATTTGATATAGTGTCAAAATTTTCTAAGTCAAATTATTTATAGATAAGTTTTCTTTGAGGCACAACTTTTCACAAAAAGATGTAGCTTTAAAGAATTTGGAACATTTATTAGAGTACTTTATTATAGAAAATAGGATACTACAATCTTGGATAATGATAAAATACGTCATTCCCTTACCTTAATAATGTGCCAAAAATATCAATTTGGTCAAAAAACAAAAATGCACATTTGCACCAATATTTAGTCTCTTATTGCCAGAAAATGCACCTATTGTTGGAAAACTTTAACATAATAATGTAACGTTTATTATTCAATTTATTTTCTATACACTAATAATAGACCAGTCGAAATAACTTATTTAGATAAAAAAAAAATAATAAATTGTTAACAGGACTTTGATAAGTATAAATGAAAAAATAAATGCAACCTGAAGGGATTGAAGTAAAGTTTTAGGGGGTTAAAAAAGGGCGAAAATTGGTATTATCGCATTTTTCGGCAAAAACAAAAATATATAATGCAAAAGTTGTAGATTAAGCAATAATCTACAGCTTTTGTAGAGTCACTTTTTAACATGACCTCAAAATTTTTAATAAAAATGCTAAAGTTCGCTCGAATTTTTTATTTTCGTTTTTTATTTTTGCTTTTTCCAAAAATAATTCAATTTTGTTGAAATTATACCTTTTTGTGTCTTAAATAAGCAAAAAGATTTTTTAATAAAAAAATACAAAAAATTTGAAGATATTAATTTCCTTCGGTCAAAAATCCTTTTTATTTTTAAATTCTGCGGTGAAAAATAATCGATTGGATTATAATATATTCTACAACTTAATTTATTTATACTCAAACACATACTAATTTATTTTTACGATATATACGAGTATGTTAACTGATATTTTAATTAAAAATTGCCGCAAATGGCAGAATAGTGCTATTTATATACAAATGTTACCCACCAGACATATCTAGAAAATTCTAGACAACTTCACCATTTCTTACATTGGACCAAAATAAGTGTATTCGCCAAAAATTGTAATTTAGAGATAATTTATTTCGACTGTCGACTTCCATAGGCGTATCTGGAGGTTGACTTAATCTATGGAATATTCTTGGTAATAGGATAAGACAGAGAAGGACTTAAGGTATTATAACAGAACCGTAAATTGCTCACACGACAATAATTAGTGTGTAAAGAAATTAAAATTTGTCTTATATTTTATAAATAAATCTATGGAAAACCTTTAATTTAAGCCAAGGTAATCCATTCATCAATTTCAATTTTCTACATTTTCATACAAAAATGCAATGAGTTTGCTCTCAAAGGACTAAAGTTATTTTAAAACCATTACTACATTATTCCTATTTTAACTCATGTGTGTAAAAAAATAAGCTCTGTAATCTTTAATTCAGTTTCACTATTTGAGGATACGAGAATGGGACAATTTCCTGTCTAAGAGAGAAAAAATAAAATACAGGGTGTTTCCGAACTTGGCGTCCAAATTTGTAGGGGTGGTAGTTCGCATAATTTGAGAGTGATTGGCAGATTTCATTTTTCTAAAAAAATTATAATAAACAAAATAGAGCCGTTATAAAAAAATCAAAGAGCGCGTAGCGCAATATTCCTCAAAAACATGCGATTTGCAATTTTGTCGATTCTAAGCGCAGCGCGCGCGAGTCAATGCGGTCCCGTCGCTGTGCAGGACCGTAGCTATTTATAATTTTTTATTTTTTTATTTTAAATATTTTGGAATAATGGAATTTGCGAATCGGTCTCAAATTATGCGAACTACCACCCCTACAAATTTGGACGCCAAGTTCGGAAACACCCTGTATAGCTCTTACTTCGAATTTCTACATTATTTAAAAAACTTAGAACTTGATTAATACAGCGGACTGTCAAATACAAACTACTGGACACAAACTTACGGTATTTACCAGAAAACCTAATGACATTTAACATTAGTAAAATTAATGGCATATGACATTAATAAAATAAACAAATTATCAAAATTCATCCCATCCTCGTATATTAAATTTCACTATAGATTAAATCAACATTTTAACAATAATAAATAGCAATTTTTTTCCATTTTTATGGAGTAGAACAGAACAGGGAATATATATTGAAACGGGAACGTGGCTTTATTTATTACATTTAGAATTCAATTAAACAATCCATGCCGTAATGCGCTAGTTCAGTGATGATGTAATTATGGTTCCACTGACAATTAAAGTGACAGTAGATTTTTTGAGTGCGTTCTGTTAGTTTTGTTTACCTAAATTATATCGTTTTTTTCACTTTTATAAATATATTCCTAAAGTAAGTAGATAGAATGTATCAAATATACAATCGTTTAGTTACCAATTACATACCTTTAAACTATTTTTTATGACCTGTAAATAATATTTTGAAATAAAATAAAAACAGTAAAAACGTATATGTCAAATTTATTGATGTTTTTGTTAAAAGTTTGGTTAGAATTAAATGTCAGTGGAACCAAAATGACATCACACTGAACTAGCGCATTGAATAATTCAACTTTATTTTTCTAATTCTCCATTTTATTATCTTTTTTTTTAATCAATGCTCAATAATTTTATTTTAGGAGGACTTGGCCAGAAACGATTTCGCTGACGATGTGAGTGGCGCCAAACATAAAATTGACCTCCATAATGAAATGAAAAAGAAAATAATGAAGGCTCCGGTGGACGACATCGATTTATTAGGTACGATAATATTTTTTAGTTTTCTTATTTTTATCAATTAAAAAACATAATAGAGATTGTGTAAAACATGTCTAGATTACTTGCTAGTAGTTTTTAGATAATTTTATTTAATATTAATACAAATTTTCATATACAGTGTGTCCCAGGTTCGCTTCTCTATACAGGTATCTCGATTTCTGTTATACCTACAGCAAAGGTAAAATGGGAAATGTTTTAGTGGAAACTTAGTGCATTTTGATAACCGGCTTCAGATTTACGATCGGTCAATTGGTTATGGAAATATCGGCGAAAAACCGAAAATGGGGGATTTCGTTTTTCGCCTGTAAATTTGAAGCAAATAATTTGGTGGAAGCTGTCAAAATGTGACAATATTCGGACACTTTTTTAAGACGAATAAGATAGCATATATGACATGTCTCATTCGTCTTTTGTTATCCCGATATCCGACTCAACTTTAATTTTTCTTCGATTTTTCGAAAGACTATAAAATTTCCAATCTTGTGATGTCTCACGAGTGCCTAGAACATTTGAGTATTATCGAAATATCACACTACTTAAGGTTAGGTGTCATTTTTTTCTCTAAGCCATGATTTATTTGTCAGAAAATAAATCAGATATTTTGGAACAAATTCCCAGCTGTGTGTTAAAAAAAGCAAATCAGAGAACTCGTTAATTTAATTAATACTTAAACCTTTGAACAACCTGCAAGTAGTTACAAATTGAAAATGAAAATCGCGACAGAAACATTTTACAAGTTGTAATGTAATGAATATAAAATATAATTATGTTTTTAACACCTTCATAACTGGATATTAATTTACAGATTTGCAAAATGATGTCCATTTGCATCGAAACATTTTTGACAATTAGTTACTTTTTCATAGGACCCCAGCAAGTGTATTTCCGTTGTTTCTAAATATGTCCAAATCTATTTGTCTTAAGATTTCTGTGGTCGCGGGAGTATCAAATTCATAGACCTCATTATTTGTAAGACATTAGAGGTAGAAATCTAAAGGCGAAAGGTCAGGAGATATAGGAGGTGAAGATTTTGGACCTTTTAATGAAATAACTTCTTTCGTCAAAGTGGAAAGTGCTATCTTAAGAAGTTCCTAAATTGAATGGTGTTGTGAGCCGGACAACGATCCTGTTGAAACCAGGTTCTTCTAAACTCATCTTCCGTTAGAGTAACACGTAAAGCCGACAAAACCTGGTTTCGCAGAAGCTCTAGGTATCTTTGTCCGTTTAGGTTATAATCCTGAACTGATTAATAATTTATAATCGGTGCCCAATTAAAAAAAGGTAAGTTAGAATAAATTACCAATGATCCCACACCAAACGTTACTTCCAAATCTGGTCTGTAGACGTCTCTCTGCCACTTCCTGAGAGTTTTCCACAGCCCAATGAGTGTTGTGTTTATTAAAAACTCCACAATTCGTAAACTTACTCTCATCGGACCACAAGATTTACAAAATCGGGAATCTCATTACACTTCCTAGTATATCACTCACAGAAGAGCATGCATCTTGGAAAATCAGTTTCCTTCAATCCTTGAACCATTGGGGTTTGTATGGATAGTACTTATTCTTATCCCAGTATGTATCAATCAGTACTGGCACTTTGAGGCGGCACGTTTGATCTTTAAAAGTGTAGAAAATTTAGTCGTTTTCAGGATATGAAAAGTTTTCTTTACACGGACTTGGTTATACCTAGTTAGTTAAATTTTTGTTCTGCTGCTTTTCAAATTCGTGTGTATGAGCGAGATGTGAGATATCTTTATAGACGGTTGAACAACTTAATTATTTTGAAGAAGAAAATCGATTAGATATCAGGTCAGTCTTCGCAAATGTAAAAAAAGGACAGAACCGTTTTAAATTTTTTTAATGTATGTGATTGAGTGTCAAAAATCGTTGAATTTCGAAACTGAAATTTTACTTTTTAGTGAAAAGTTTAATTACTTTTAATTCAAAATATAACGTTAGTTTGTCAAGGGAAATTAACACACTAGGAAAGTATGTAGTTTTAAATATAAAAGTTTAAAATGGAGACATATTTAGAATATTTTTTTTACAAATATATACTCAGTTTTGGTGAATGAGTTCAAGTATGGCAGACGAAAATCGTTACTTTTAATTTTGAATTAATTTGAATTTATTTAAAAATGGAAACTACGTGTATGTGGTATTCATAGTTTTTACACTTGTAATAAAAATATCATAGTTATGTATATTGACCATTTACTAGACACAGAAAATTCATAAGACACATTGGTAACAGTCATCATCTTGTTAAAAGGAGATATACTTCTTGGAGCTAAACTAAATAATTTTTTGTTACTGGAGATTCTTAGATTAATCTTTGCCGCATTAAAATTTATATAGTCAATCAAATCACAATGTTTGTACAACTGCTAACCACACTTTTGAATGTTTGTTTATGTTATGCTCAAGTTAAAAATTGTTATTTTTTTGGGTGTTTTTGGACGAAAAATTGTACCTGTTGGTTTATTGTAGTCACAAAAATTGATTCTATACTGAGTATTATGAAATTTCACCATTATATTTAATTTTTTGGTAGAAAAATCAAAACAACCGCTATATGGCTGGCACATGTAACAAGTGTTCTATTAACTGCATTTTTAAAGAACCCAAGGCCTCAGGTGAGATTTTTGGATACCCATGTGATTTTTGTAAGAAGGTATTATGCAGGGATTGCACTGGTATTAGTTCCACAGAGATTCGTTGCCTACTTTTATCTACCCGCGTCCTTCCATACCTATGCAGTGATTGTGTACCAGGAATTAAAAAAAGCATTAACTCTAAACAGCAGAGTCAAAGCTCTGGAAGGCACTTTGAGCGAAACTAAGATTATTAACACTCAGAAATTCGACGAATTTGAAAACCAGATTCGGGTGATAACTGAAGAAGTCAAGAGTTTGAAAACTAGCTTTTTAACCTCCCTAGATATAAAGACCTCAGTATTATTAAAAATTCTACCTCTACTTCGACGAATGAGAAAGACTGTAAATACAATGCAGCAGTAGTACATGGTAATGTAATGCATGAGGTTTCCGAGAGACAAAAGAGTTCTTGTAACCTGATGGTATTTAATTTGCCCCAAAACAACGAAGATAAGGATATGTCTAAGTCAAAAGTTATGCTCCAGGACCTCATAAGCTCCCCCGTGAATATCCTTTGCTCGGCTAGAATTGGAAAGCGTAATAAAAATGGACATCAATCACTTCGTCTAACTCTAGAGTCTCCCGAGGTAGTTCATTCAATATTAAGGAAAAAGCGAGATATTGACAGAAGTTTAAAAATATTTCTTGAGGCAGATTTAACCACAGAACAACGAGCAGTGGTCTATACTTTGAAAAATGAATTGAAAGAAAGACAACGTAATGGTGAACCTAATCTCATTCTGAAATATGTTAATGGAGTACCAAAATTAATTACAAAAAATAAAAAAGCCTGCCGAGGTAAGATTGAAAAGCACTTCAACAATATTGGTATATTTTCAGAATGTCAGAGGCCTACGTACTAGAGGTGGGAAGTTCGAATCTTTTTACTGAATTAATTCATTTGATTCATTCACCTAAAAAGATTCGTTCTTCAAGATTCGTTCTCAAGTGATTCACTTTAGCGAACCACGAACGATGTTATTCCGCCGATCCGGCGAAGGAAATCGAACCGAACTTTTACGAATTTGAGTACTACCTAACCTACCTACCTACCTACCTACCTACCTACCTACCTACCTACCTACCTACTAGGTCGTTGAGTAAAATAATTATAACCAGATTTATTTTAAAGTAAAGCGAATTAATGTTTCATATTTCATAAAAAAAAGGCAGCTGAATAATAAATACATCCTTGTCCGTTAAGATAAACAACAATAACACAATTTTTTTTAAATGCCAAATATATAGCCAAAATTAACGCAAAATTATATATTCACGATTCGTCATTTTTTGTTTTAATTTTACTTTGATTTAAATTTATTTATCAGACAACACGCATAAATTGTTTACCTAAGCTTAATACACACCTCCTGTAAAGTGAGAAAAACATTAAAGACACATACCGCCACCGCCTGTCAGTTAGAGTTCTCGTATTATGCCGTAGAACGTAGAACAAAAGCGACCAATTTGCCGATGCCGATGTAAAATACCAAATACCGAATCCGAATCGAATGAACGAAGCAACCAAACTCGGAACTCGGCGTGTTTGATCGATCGCAGAGCCATCGAGCAATTGACTCAAAAAAGATTCGAATCTTTTAAAAACAGGGAATCAATTCATTCGAGTCAGTGCACTGATTCGTTCTTTTTGAACGAATCGTTCGCGAACGACACACCTCTAATGAAAACACCTCTTATTCTCAATATGACATTTTAGTGTTTAACGAAACATGGTTAACTGGTGATATTAGTGATGCTGAACTACAAATACTTGGCTACAACATATATCGAAGGGATAGATCTTCCTAAACAAGTACATTTTCCAGAGGTGGAGGGGTGCTTATAGCTGTTCGTAAAGCTATAACCAGCATACTTTTGCCAGCTATGCTTAGAGCATATATTTGTTAAAGTTCAAATAGACAACAACAAGTTCTTTGCAACAGCTTATTTTCCACCACGAAGTGCGCCAGAAAAATATGAGAAGTTTACTGAAAATTTAGAGAACCTATCAGAACAATATCCAGGGCATAAACTCTGTATCCTGGGAGACTTTAACGTTCCGTACTGCCAGTGGTTCAGTGATAGATTGGCATCTGTCGCTGTACCCCTGGATGGAGTTCCTCCAAATCAAGTTGAATCCATACAAATTCTTTTATTTTTATTCTCTTATCATAATCTTCATCAAGTTAAATCAGTTAGAAATGTTAACAACAATTTACTTGATTTGGTTTTTATTCAAGATAGCGAAACCGAGATATTTGCAGCTGAGGATGCCTTACTTCCGGAAGATATTCACCATCCACCTCTGTCATTTGAAATTAAATATAAAACTTTTCCAATTTAACATTTGCTGTAGGTATAATAGGTGCCGAGATCCCTGTATAGAAAAGCGAATCCGGGACACACTGTATAGGTATTCTTTTAGTCATTTACATTTTTACAAATTTTCTATTAAAAACATTTTCTATGTTTTTAGGTCAAAGATTGTTACAAAAATCATGCGGCCTTGACACCGGCCAAGGAGGCGGGGGTGGTGGTGGTGGGGGAGGCGGAGGACGTGAACCAGAATCTCCTAGCAATACGAATTCTGAGTTATTAGGAACCAAAAATTTAGTTTTACAAAATTTAGAAGCTGTGCATTCGTCGCAGCAACACCTTCTTCAACTGTGGCATCACAAAAAGCTCAAGTTGGACCAGTGCTTTCAGTTGAGGTTGTTTGAACAAGATTGTGAAAAAGTAAGTTGGTCCTACACAATAGGTATTTATGTTTATCACATAATTAGGATTTTTTACAATAGTTACAAACTTGAAAGACAATTCCGTTAAATTAATAAAAATTAAAACCGAAATTTAGCAGTGGCATAGGCAATAACAGCAATGCCGGAATATAATCATGTCTAGTGCGTATTTAGGAACTTTTTTTTTCAAAATTTAAATTAATCCTGAAAATTCTTCATGAAAGAAGCAACTCTTTTAAATCACCCGATAATTGAGCATAAAAAAGTAAACATGCGTTCCATTTCCAGATGTTCGAGTGGATTTGCCATAACAAAGATGTCTTCCTTCTTAACTATGTAGAAATAGGCCACACTTACCAGTTAGCTAAGCAACTTCAAGAGGAGCACCAGCACTTCACGATGAGCTCGATGAATGTGTACGTCAATATTAATCGAATTTTATCGGTCGCGTCGCGTCTCATTGAGGGCGGTCATTACGCCGCCTCGCACATTCGATCGGTCGCCGGACGATTAGACAGGACTTGGAAGGATTTTGCGGCTGGGCTTGACGAAAGGTAAGATCTGAAAATCGACTCTAAAAAACATTATGTTAAGTTTATTTACTTGTTTATCGTAATTCGATGACTCAGACTCCCTTTCAATTATATTTAAACACGATAATTAAATTCAACTTATTTATTGTCAGAATACAACCGGCGATTGCCGCTTATGGCCAACTCCTTACTCACCTTGTCTGGATTAATCAAAACGTTCGTAGCGCTCGTTGGGTGGTGGCGCGGCGCGTAAATTTAAAAATATAAATTAAGAGCTAACAATATATCCGATTAATTAACCTCATTCTACTCCGTATGCATCGCCTATGTCTTGTAGATTTTCTTGGTTTTGAATGCCGTTTGAGACGGTTCATTTGTCGCGCTCAAACTTCGTCTTCGTGCGATATAGCCTTTATATCCACTCTTGTTGCACAATAGCTATTTGTGTATTAAGAGCGAAAAGTGATACTTTGCCGCTTTAGACAAAAAGTTTCCGCGTGACGCGTAGCGGAGCGCGGCAATTTGTCGAAAGCGGCAACGAACTTTTCGCTCAAAATGCACACAAGATTTTTTACCATCACATTATTTTAAGAAATGGATATAAAACTGAAAATTTGTCATAAAGTAGTGTATAATGTGTTGCCTATATCTACGTTTTATTTATGAAAAAAGGAGTTGATATTCAAAGTCAATATTAACTTGGATAATAAGAGAAAAAACATCAAACTAGGTACAAATAACTTCGAAATCATTTATTAAAAAGAAATATTATTATATTATATATAATTTAAATTAGGCGAGCGACAAAGCTGTCAAGTTTTCCGCTCGGCGATCGACAAAGCAATCACTTAATGTCAGTTCGCGGAAAACGTCAACTTTGCGATTGAATTTCGAAGCGCAAAAGCCTACTTTTGATAGTGATCGTAGAAAATAGTAGATTGTGCAACAACCGTGGATAAGATGACCATATCGCACGAAGACGAAATTTGGGCACGACGCCATAGGCGGAGTGCTCAATAGCCTGAGTTCGATATGGACAATTCACTCGAGTTGTACAGTATATTTTTTCTACGACCCACTAACGAAAATCTACAAATTAAAAAAATATTTTAGGTTATTAAGACAAAATAACTAATTTTAAAATAATTTATGAATTTTACTGATTTTTAAAATAAAATAAGACACAAAAAAATTAGTCGCCAGCCGAGAAACGATCCCCGGCTTTTTGCGCACTCTGTCCATGCGCTTACGTCCACTTTTACGATTTTTGTTTTAATTCTCGTAATTAAAATAGTTTCATATAGTTTGATTAAAATTTAAATTTCTTTTCAAAATATGGTTCAAATAAAAATGCTATTATTTACGATTGTTTATCGATTTTACACAAAAATAACTCATTTTAAAGTATATTTAATCGCAATAATTAAAAAGTATACTGATAATTAGTTTGACAGGATTGCCACTTATTTAAAATTTTAAAAATAATAGTAGTTGGGTAGATTTAATTTTTTTGTTCTCACTACCTAGAATGGATATGAAATATATTCGTTCAGTTGAATGCAATGGTATAGTTTTTCGTTTTGTAGCTTGTGCATAGAATAGCTAATATCCATGTGAGTGTAAAAAAACTACTATACATGGATATTAGCTATTCTACACACAAGCTACAAATCGAAAAAGTATACCATTGCATTCAACTGAACGAATATATTTTATATCCATTCTACCTAGTATGAACATAACACAAATATGAAATCCACCAATCACAGTTCATATTATGGTCACCTGGCTACTAATATTTTTTTTTAATTTTAAGTAAGTAACAATTCTGTCAAACTATCTGTATCTAACGTGTGGAGAGTGGGTTACCCCAGTGAGGCACTTAATAGGCACCTTCTAGCTTGTCAGCTAGCCTACAGATTTAATGTACTTGACAGCGTCATCAAGAGGCGCTTCTATTATATCGGCCTGTGTTAGCCAATACTCGCCAAACACTAATATTATTAGAAATAATCGTGTCGGGCAATCGTAGAGGATATGCTCGATGGTCTCATCTTCTTGTTCGCACCCTCTGCAGGGTGCGGATACTGACAGCCCCATGATATGGAGATGCTTATGTACTTGGAAATGACCAGACAGAATGCCTGTGATCAGGCACAAATTCTGTCTAGTCATAGTTGTTAAGTATTTGTTTGCTGTAGTGTTGTCAGGATAACTTAAAAGTTCCGTGGTAATTCTGCAGATTCTTGCTTCATCCCATCTTTCCTTGAATTTTACAAGGCAATGTTATTTAATTAGGTATCTCACTACTGATGTTGTCAGTCCAATAGAAGGGCCAGGTCCAAAAAGAAATTGGGTTGGTGCCTTTCTGGCTATTGAATGATCAAGACGGTTATCTTTTGATGTGGCATGACCTTTGATCCGTCGGTGTTGATATGAATCGTACCTGCCACTTCCGGCTCCTCTATTTATTCTGTTATTACTTTATATGGCTTATGGAAGATATATGACGTCTCGCCTTCCCAGATTCTACATCAGATTCTGTTTCAACCGTGTTGAGGCGTGTCATTGTCATCAGAGAAACCTCCTTGATGTAAATATCAAGGGGAATGAGACTAAGAATGACTTCCATGGTTCTGGTGGTTGTGGTTTATCATGGTTCCTGTTATGTTGAAACTTGCTGTTCTTTGAATTTGTTCTAGTTTCCGGATAGCTGTCAATTTTTGGGTTCTCGCTACCCAAACAACTGCACCCAATGTTAGCATAAATATGTCTTATGATGGCCATGTAAGTCCAAGTGACTACTCTGGTGGAGAAACTCCAGGTACGTCCCATGGTTCGGCGGCATTGCTTATAAGCAATTATGCTCTTTAGACTATCTTTTCTAAGTATATAGTAATTGTCAGTATATTTTTAGTTATTAAAATTGAATATACATTAAAATGAGTTATTCTTGTGTAGAATAAATAAGAGTATTTCTATTTTTATTTGGTCTATTTACAAATAAATCATAAATTTTAATAAAACTATATGAAATCAAATTAAAACTAAAATGTCAGGCATGTTGATGGAGTTGAGACTAGCGCATTTGGCTGCAATGCGAGAGGTCCAGGGTTCAAATCTAGGATTAGAGACTAATTAAATTAAATCTTTTTTTTAAGTTTATTTTATCTTGACCTAAAATAGTTTTTAAAATTTGTAGATTTTCGTTAATGGATCGTAGAAAAAATATACTGTACAACTCGAGTAGATTGGCCATCATTTCCACTCTTATCGCACAAATTATTATTTCATGAAAAGATCTACCACTACTTGTAATTGTCGTATTACATGATAGTTCCTAATAAATTTACTAGAATATGCAATTTGTAATAAGATTTTTTTTTTATTTTATGCCGAAACATAATAGGAAATTATATTAAATTTGCAAGAAAAAACTTAATCACAATTTGTTATCTTCGTTGGTGTCAGAGTTATTGCTAAAAAAATAATTTTAGACACTTTCGCTGCCCATGACGTTCATTAACATCATAATAGTTATTTCCCCATTCCCATGACGTTTTGTAATGCCATTTGAAGATGTATGCTTCGATGAATGTAGACAACCCACTATGCAGTGAATTGTCTTTATAACCCCGTAGGCATGTGAAAACGTTCTTAAATTAGGGCATTATGAATTTGGTTTTAATATTATGTTTGTGAATTTAACATAGCAAGGCTTTAACAGGTTCTAATTAAATAATGTACCTTATTGCTCGATATTTCAATTTGTGGCATAGACAGGCAAACAAGTCTTTAATAAAAGTTATATGGATCTGAAAAACACATTTTAAAAATATTTTTGGATATACAGTGTGTTACGCTTTTGCTTATAAAGTAAAAATATATATTTGTTAAATAGAACACTGTATTTTCTCAGTTTTAGAATTCTTAGGGAATACTGTATTAAACCCTAGAATGTTTTTGTAAAGTATTATATGGTTCCCAAGAAATTAATTTTTTGTGATATAAAATGATACAAACCCCAAATAAAATTATCAGAATTTAAGTAGCTTATCAATGAGTTGAACATTATTTAAAATACTGGCTTATAAGATAACAAACTAATGAATAGACATGATATAACTAGTTTATTTTATACAGAGGGTTTTGAAACATCTCATAAATATGGCTCATTTTAACTTCATTTTACCCAATTTGAATGCAACAATAGCTGTTTTATCATTAAAGATAGGAAGACATTTTTAAGTTGCACGACCATGAGTGGTGGGGGGTGGGTGGCTCAGTGGTAGAGTCTCTGTTTGCGGATCTAAGGATCCCAGGTTCGACTCCCACCGTTGGCCGGGATTTTTTTCATTTAATTTAATTATTTAAAATTAATTCTGATGGCTTGGTAGGATTCCCCACTCGACCATTCACTGTTGGGTTCTAATTAACAGTGCTGTTCCTAAAGCAGCACTGGGAACCAGTAACAAAGCCTACACAAAACACGAGGCGAAATAACCAGAGTAGTTGAAGCCAATGACAAACAGAAAAAAAAGAGTGATGGAAAACTTATACTGTTATTAAGTAAAACCCCCCTGTATAACAAATTTATTTATTCTGACATCGTCAAACAATTTCAATAAGTAAATAAAAATGTTTTGACTTTCCATTCATTTGCTACATTGTATATAGGGTGTGTCAAAACACAAGATTTTTCAAATGAAATGCCCTCCTGTGTGTTACACCACAAATTTAACTAACTAATAATTTAGTTTCTTTACTTTTTATTTTGTTTGGCATTTTTGAGCCTAAACTGATTTTTAAATTTTATTTACAATGGTTCATATTACTTGTAACGTCGAAGGAATAGAAAACCATTTATTAATTCTGACAAATGGATTACTAAAAATTACATTTTACCCTAAATAAGTCCGTCCATATTTTCAAAAGCCAATTAGAAAAATGTGAAAAAATTATGTCAATTTTAATGGTAAAACCGTCAAAATCATGAGAAAAAAATTTGGGAATAGAATGCCAAACAAAATAAAAAAAGTAAAGAATTAAGTGTAAGGGTTAAAGAAAAGGTCCTTTATTTCTTACAAGTCAATTTTAATTGGCGACCGGTTTCGAAGCTGTCACTTCATCATCAGGCACACCTTGACTATTTCCATAAAGGAAGCGCTACATAAAGTTTAACAAAACGAGTTAAAAAAGTCATATGTAATACAATAGTATTTTTTAAAAATATTGTAGGTTAGGTTAAACCGCGAGATGTCTGTTTGACCTAACCTACAATATTTTTAAAAAATACTATTGTATTACATATGACTTTTTTAACTCGTTTTGTTAAACTTTATGTAGCGCTTCCTTTATGGAAATAGTCAAGGTGTGCCTGATGATGAAGTGACAGCTTCGAAACCGGTCGCCAATTAAAATTGACTTGTGAGAAATAAAGGACCTTTTCTTTAACCCTTACACTTAATCCCTACTACTCACATATGGCTACCCTCACTCCAAAAAAAAAAAAAAAAAAAAAAGTAAAGAAATTAATTTATAAATTGGTGGTATAACACACAGGAAATATTGCAAAAAAATTGAGAATATTGTAACCTCACGTGTAGACACACCTTGTATGCATCACAGAATATAAATAAACATTTTTAGGAATGTTTAGTCTATTAAAATTATAAAACGATGTGAAATCCAAATCTGTAAGGCGTAACTACCTACAGGGTGTTTAGTTTAAAAAACTATCTGTTTGGTTTTCCCCTCATTTATAGACTACCATGTATATTTAAGAATAATTGTAAAATATGGTCTTACAACTTTGATATTAAACATTTCTTCATATCTCCAATAATAAAATATCGATCAATTACCCACTGATGGGGTATGTATAATTAAAACATTGTATAAATTGAACCAATTCTTTCATCACAGCTTGGTCCTTATAAGTTGAAAAATATTCTAGTGATAAATACAGTATTACCATGCTATTCTAAAACTGAAATAAAATACAGGGTGTTCCATTTAAAAACATGTTTGTACTTTCCAGGCAAAAGCGTAACACTCTTTATATCCACAAATGTTTTTAAATTATATTTTTTCAAATCCACATAACTTTTATTCAAAACGTGTCTATAATACAAATTGTAATATCAAGCAATTATGCACTAATGGGACAGCCTGTATAAAACTAAAACAAGAGTTTACGTCTTTTTTCATTCATTCAGACTTCCTTTTAAAGTACTCTTGATTGTGTTTGACTCCCTGCCTTGAATGGTCCAGCCTTCCCTACAAGATTTTGACATGGTGGCTACAGCTTCATTGGCTAATTGTACCACCTTTGGATACCTTACTTCTTTCGATTTATTAATTCCTCATTTATTCCACTCATAGATAGGCTTCCAAGAACTTATAGTCTCCGGTCAACCATTCACGAAGTGCTTGACTACCTTGATCGATAAATGAATTTATAGGTACACCGTCAGCCAGTTGCCCGGTAATATACTTCTTTGACATCCTATAGAGGTCTATATTCTTTTCTCTTTTTGTGTTAACTTCTGTCCATATTTATAATCACCCTGTATATATATAATAGATATTCCCCAGAATAAATTTTTAGATTTTCATTGTGTATGGCCTATGACGTTAATGAACGTCCAAATTTCTAAATGTTCGTATACCGATGGGCCAGAGTGTGTAGTTGGTGTTAAAGCTTGTAAACTATATAATAGCTATTTATAAAACCAGTTAAGAAATTCATTATTTTATGTAACATGTGAATATTTGTGGGACGAGCAGAGAGAGGTCCCGCAACATGTACGAGCTACATGAAACGGCAATTCTTAACGTGTTATATGCAATAGTTTTCTAATTTTGACAAGATTATTTATAAAATTGTGTTTTGGTAAGAAATTTCTGACATCCATGCAACCAATATTACTACTTTCTGTATTGTTAGTTGCATAATATGCATAATTTAATGACAAATAGAACATATTATTAATTCTCAGCGACTTGTAGTTTCTTTATCTAGCTATTAAAGTTATTTAGTTTTCAAAAAAGTGGGTTAATTGGAAATTGGAAAATAAGACCAGAACAACATTATTACTAGGTTTTAAGATCTATTTTTATAAGTCAACCAGCCCTTCTTTGACATAAACTTTCAATAATATATATTATTGATTTTAAAACAAAAATAAATTATTTTTATTTGTTTTTTGCTCACAACTGGTGACATAATGAATTTTTTATAATTTTGACAAATAAAGTGACATTTTTTGGAATCGCATCAAGTGTTAAAATGATCTACTTTACGCAACCAGTTGCATAATGTTGAACATTATGAAACTGGTTTCGAAAAATTCATTATGTCACCAGTTGCAAAAAGAAAACATAAAAATTAATCTTTTTTGGTTTTAAAATCAATAATACACATTATTATTAAAAGTGTATATAAAAATTGAATTTGGTTAAACTTATTACCTAATAATAATGTAGTTTTGGTCCTTATTTGACATTCTAAATCAGAAAAACATAATTAAAACACAATACACGACAAAATAACCCACTTTTTTAAAAACTGAATAACTTTAATAAGCCATATAAACACACTATAAGTCGTTGAGAATAAATAATTAATAATATGTTCTGTTCCAATAAAATGATGCATATGCAACTAAAAATACAAAAAGTAGTAATTTTGGTTGCCTAGATGTCGGTAATTTCTTACCAAAATACAATTTTATAAATGTAATTAAAATTAGAAAAAATATGGTATGCATGTTTTTGTAACAAACAATTTATTTCAATTCAACTTTACAATTCAACTATTTAACTGATAACATAAAACTAAAATTCTGACTTATATAGCTTGCTTTAACCTTCTAGAACCTTCCCGAAATATACATATGTTTCTTGACATGGAATGACATTTCTGGGCATTTCTTGAATATTATCTTTTCTTCTTTTACTCGCACCTTTACTTATGACGATCACAGCACACTGTAGGACAGGCCTGCACAACTCGGATTTTCAAAGGACCAGTTTGAGAAACCGTAAGTGTACGAGGGCCAAGAGAGACCTGAGCCTATGGTGGTCTGTTCAGATTCTAAAAGGTCCTCACGTTATAATTATGCGAGCTTCTCTAAAAAACAAAAAAATAATTGGTAACAATACTGTATGCAACACGTTGAGAAATGCCGTTTTATGTAACTCGTTCATGTTGCGGGACCTCGCTCTGCTCGTCCCGCAAATATTCACTCGTTACATAAACTAATAAACTATGGCATTTCATAACTGGTTTCATAAATAGCTATTTTGAAACCAGTTTCATAATGTAACATTGTGCAACTGGTTGTGTGAAGTAGATCATTTTGACACTTGCTGGAATTACAAAAATGTCATTTTATATGACAAAATTAGAAAAAGATACTTTTGTACACAATTTATGTAATACAAACAAAATTATAAAATAAAATCATATTGGTAATATCTTTGTTTTCAGAACTGCGGTGTTGGCATTGTCTGTGATTTTTCACCACAAGGCAGAGCAATATGTGGAGAATGTGCCTTCTTGGAAATCTGCATCTGAAACTGGAAATATTCCTTCAGAGATTATGATGCTAGAAACTTCGATACATCAACACCAAAATTTGTATGAATCTATGTGTCAAGCATACACAGAGGTAAGTACAAATATTATCGTATATTATAGTGTAAACTAACAATTGAAATATATAATATTTACTATACAAGGAGCATTATTTGGCAATTTGTGAAAATTCTAATCTAAAATGTTGTTATTGCTCATTGTGGAAACATTCAATATTTATGTTTTATGAAAATAGTATAAATGTTATTTCAGTAGGTTGATTATGAAAATTATTTGAAGCCCTTATCAAGCTACCAGCTTGCTTTACTAGTTATTTGAATTTTATTTCTAGCTAACTTTCTTCCGTTTATAAATGTTTAGTTGTCTTATATGAAGAGGAGTCCAGTTCTATGTTTCAGGATCATCGATGATATTGTATTGCCTTCTCCATTTTTTTCGTCTTTTCTTTTCAATTACCTTGATCTTGTTTTTATCCGAAACTAAGTATTTATATAATTTTTGATTATGCTGTTCACATTTGACAAAAAAAATCACTAAATTATGATAAATAAAAAGTCATTATTATTAATTCATAGGTTGTAGTAGGCAAGTAGAAATCATCGTCAGAAAGGTTAAGTATTTTTTTTACATTTTTTCGAACATACCATTCCAAAGTATGGCTTGTATTATAGATGATACGGATGCAGAAATTTTTCTCTAAACATTCTTCCACTTGTTTTTTTCGAATACCATAAACTTTTAATAATAATTGTGTCACGAAATGTAATCGTGTTTTTTTAATGAATGAATTTAAGATCGGCTTTTTTATTATAAATAATCTCAACTATCTACGTCTTTTTTAACGTATTTTTACATAAGTGACAGAGCCACTTTGCAGTTCACTATTTCTCTAGCTGCAAGTAAAATTTGTGACTGGATTACACGTCGTTGTAATATATCAGGAAAAACATATCATTTAATAATACAATAAAGCATACATCATTGATAATTCTTTGACATTCCAGTTTTGTTGCAATACATGTTCAGTACCTCATTATTTTCTGTAATTGCAAGAATAATTATTGCAACACGTGATCCAAAGGACGGTAGTGCGCAGACGTGCAATATAAATTGTCGCAGTTTTACTTGCACTGTAAAGTGGTTCTATGGAACGCCGTTTTACTTTTTATTCTTAAAGATTCAATTGGTCATTTTTAAACATAGAACAATTTTATTCAACCCATTTTTATATTTGTTTAAGTTTTTTAGTTCTATTAAATTGTTTGTTTAAAAAACTTTGGCTATTTAAAATGTTTGGTGAATAAAATTGTATCTTGATAAAATGCGCGAGTCAAAAATATTTGATAGTCATATTTAAAACTTTTAATTTATATGATACAATTAAAATTATCAACAGTCATTTTAATTCATGTAACATTTTAATTAAACCAACAAAAAATAAACAACCATTTTAAATATGGTATTTAGATTTTTGGCTACAATTTTAATGACTACATTAAAATGATTGTTATTTATTTATTTGTTGAATTAAAATGTTAGTCGAATTAAAATGACACTCGATTTAAAATAATTGTTGATAATTTTTGTTCCGAATTAATATGATTGTTGATAATTTTAATTAGTCGCTGTAGTCAGCGGTCGCTACGAGAACTAATAAAATATGTAATTTGGCAACAAGGTTTACTGCAACGTCAAACGTCATGTATGATGTATGTAATGTCATATGTCTTACAATGTTTATGGTTTGTTTTGTGCAGAAGTTGTTGGTAGAAAATATTTTTTAGATTTTTAGTCGCTCTAAAATGTTATCATCTAAGTTCTAGTTAAAAATAGAATTTGTGCTTGTATCAGTTTGAACGTAAAAAAACTAGTGGATTCGTGATTTCGATAATGGATTCGAATGTTGCTGCTGCTGTGAAACAGAGAATTCATAGAACATTACTAGATGCAGAAAGATCTGTATATAATGGTTTTGGAAACTCTCAACGTATTTTGGTTACATATTTTATTAGTTCTCGTAGCGCTCGCTGACTACAGCGACCAATTAAAATTATCAACAATCGTATTAATTTGGAATAAAAATTATCAACAATCATTTTAAATCGAGTGTCATTTTAATTCGACTAACATTTTAATTTAACAAACAAATAAATAACAATCATTTTAATGTAGGCATTAAAATTGTAGACAATCATCTAAATACCTTATTTAAAATGTTTGTTTATTTCTTTGTTCGTTGAATTATTATGATACATGAAATAAAATGATTGTTGATAATTTAGAACCTACATTTAAATTACATGTGTAAAAGGTAAACAATGGAAATCTTTAGTCGGGCTGATTTAGAAAGTTGCATTTTTATTCAATAGACAACTTATACATTCTAATTTTTTTCAATTAATATTTTAAATAGGCCACTAGATTAAATCAAACATTTTTAAAATAAAAATGTATTTAAATTAATGTTGAAATATTTAGGTAAGTTTTTGAATTGTTTTGGTTATTTATTTTTTAAATAAATAACAATTTTATTCAACACATTTTAATGTTTGTCTATTTTTTTTTAGTTCTGTTAAATTATTTGTTCAAAAAACTTTGGCTATTTAAATGTTTAATGAATAAAATTGCATCTTGATAAAATTGCGTAAGTCAAAAATATTTGATAGTCATATTTAAATCATTTAATATTTATGATACATTTAAAATTATGAACAGTCATTTTAATTCGTGTAACCTTTTAATTCAGGCAACAAAAAAATAACAAACATTTGAAATAAGGTATTCAAAATGATTGTTGCTATTTTATTTGCGAACATATAGTTACCTAATCCAAAACAATGCGGAATTAAAATTTTCAACAATCATTTTAATTCTTTAACTAAAAATATTTATTATTTTTATGTTAGTTGAATTAAAATGTTACACGAATTAAAATGACGGTTGATAATTTTAATTGCATCATATAAATTAAAAGCTTTAAATATGACTATTAAATATTTTTAACTTACACAATTTTATCAAGATACAATTTTATTCATCAAATATTTAAATAGACAATTTTTTTTGAACAAATATTTTAATAGTACTGAAAAAATTAGACAAACATAAAAATGAGATGATTAAAATTGTTCTGTGTTTAAAAATGACTGAATTAAAATTTAGAAATAAAAAGTAAAACGGCGTTCCATATGGTTCTTAAATATATTTATTTTTTGTTTGATAATTTATTTGGCTTTTATATCCCTGCCTTTATGTAAAAATTTGATTTATTAAAATTACTCAAGTTTGATTAAATTTATAATAGAAGAGTAAAATATTCCGAATTTTCAAACTTATTAATAAGCTGCCAATGATGCAGTTGGTTTAATAATGAATTGTAATTTAATAATTAAATTTTCGCTTTATATTCTTTTTTATTTACTGCAAGAATAATGTTTATACAATGAAAATATATTATTGTATCTCTTCATTTTATTCATTTCCTTCTTTTGGAAGTACATTGCCTGAATTATGCTCCTTGTGTGAAGCAAATGTGGTTCAAAACATGACCATCGGTCCAATTTAACCTATATTAATATTTTGAAAATCAGGCATAAATGAATTAATTATTTTACTAAATTCTTAATTTACACGTCAGGTTTATAACTCCTACCAGTCTCTATTGAACGGACTGGACCTAATGTTACAAGTATGCCATAACTTACCCACAAGCGTCGAAGAATCGGAAAAGGATTCAAACTCCAAAAAAGTAATACTTCAAAATAAAATCATTTTAAATAATGGGTTGAGGTTTATCAGCGACTTAAACATTCCTATTATTCTATCATTAATTTTCTATATAACTTTCGATTGATTGTACAATTTGTTTATGTATGTGAATTAGATAAAGTAAAGGAGAACATATATATAATTAATTTCAAAAGTTTTATTTTTAATTCTGTGTTTTGGATATGAGGTTTATTTGGAAAAATACCAAAAATTAAATAAAAAGTTTCTATCTACTTTAAACCCTATTCCATCATGTAATCTGCAAAGTAGGTGTATACATCTATTCTCTACATCTGTAAGATAAGGGTTAAGTTGCCCCACATAACACTTATGCCTCACTCGGCCCATTATACATCCTCCAGGGACATATAGGAACTGCCTTCTAGTTAGTTAAAATTATTGTGATGTTTATTTATTTTAAAACAACAGTTTATTTATTAATAATTTATTTAAACACTTATTTATTATATAACACTACTATTTCTAATTTATATATATTTCGAATGTCTTTGAATCGTTCACTATTTATATTCACAGTCCAATACTTTATTGTCAGCTGTCTATATATCACTGATTACTATTTATCTTCACTGTCCATATAATAACTAACTGTCGCTTGGTCATCCACCAATATTTATATATAAATTGGTGGTCTAGAATGCTCCTCAACCAAAATATCCAGAATGTACCAGTAACGTTATCACGATGACTCAGGAATGTTCGCGAAAGTGTCTCCGCCATAGTCGTCACATATGTTTGGTCTTAAGGGGTTTAATTATGTATAATAATCGGACAAGTTGAGCCTCAAAGGCCAAATAAGACAGAGAGGAACTTGGAGAATTAGAGCATGACTGAATATTGAAATGGCTCACATTACATTATGTTGGTTAACAAGGTCGCCGAGAGGTGTCTTTAGGGAGGCGTCTCTAGATCTGTCCGTGTTTTGTTTCCTCTTTACGACAAGCGGTTACGCGATTTTATTTGACAGGAAGTGATCCCGATGATAAATTCCTGGGTGTCCGTTGGATCCATAGAACGTGTATACATCGCTATCAGCGTTTCTTCCATTTTTCGAATCATTCTGGAACGCATCTTTTGGGCCATTGCTCAATTCCCCTAAATATTTTTCTTTTATCGACTTAATTGATGTCATTTCGACGGCTTTTTTAATTTGAAATCAAAAAATTCTGATAGTGATATATCAGGTTATTAAGAAGACTTTGGAATTACCATTATCGATCATTTACATAGCGTTGTTTTAATTTGACAAACATAACTTTTCACAAAACTTACCTCATGATACTAATGGAGGCCCTTCACGCTCCGATATGGACTGCAGGCTAAAACTCTTCACCTCCACATTTGACAAAAGAGGAGATCTCAGATGTGAATCAGATCGAGCACTTCACTTTGGGTTTTGGACTGAATCAATGAACTACAGTTCAAATCTCACAAAACTCGTAGTGTTAGAATGTTAAAGGGGCAATTCTTTAACATTCTTTCGTAACAAAATATTAGGTTGTAATTTTGGCTTTACCTAGTCCCAATGTGGCCACTAAGCATAATACGTATTCCGTTAGTAGAGTTTTTTGGCTTTTAATTCGATCCCTTTGAAAATTTTCCGAATAAACCTCACAATTATTTTTTTAGCATAAAAGTCACATATATTCGTTTTTTCCCTTTACTTTTTCTAGCATGTATATAAGTAGCTTTATAAGAATTGTTTGAAAAGTTAAGCAAAGGAAAACGAATTAAATCTTTAAATGCAAAAGTCACAAAGGATCAATCCTGGGTAATATGGTGAATGTATAGACAATTTAACATCAACTTCATACAATTTTGTAATTTCGATGATCTTGATGGTCGACACGTTGTCCTGATGTAATAAAGTTTTTGTTTGCGGTTCAGGTTTTTTTGCAATCTTTTCAAACAAACCTTTTACTGATAATTATTATAGCAAGTAATGATAATATTGATGGTGTTGGTTTTTGGTGACAGGTTCATAGTACCAGTAAGAAACTACTTTATCAGTTAGACCATTTGGTTCAAGTCTGCAACCAATCTGGAAAGGATAAAAAACATGTAAATACTATTTCTGAATACTATTTGAATGACGTTAATCTAAAAAAAAAGTTTTAAGTTTTAATATTCTGGGAATAATATACACATAATTTTATTTAAGATAACTGAAATTATTCGTTTAAACTTGATTAACTTGATATTATTTATGAAGTACTATTTGTAAGGTACGAAATGATGACGAGATCTCGTTTAGAGCTGTTTATTCCTTCAGCTCGACCACACCCCTTCTCTGGTATAGGCAACCCAATGTACGTAGAAGGCACTTGTGTTGCCTATACCTCACACTATTCATATTAAATTAAATGGTACCTAAATCGAACAAACAACAAATTTTTTTACATAAAGTATTAATTTAGTAATCAATTTAAATATTTTTTGTTGTTGACATTGATATTAGAAAACTCAATTACCTAAGTTATTTTATTATATTTGTTTCATGCATACAGTGACCTATATGCTTTCTTTGACTAACACTAGTTGTTATAAAATTTAATATATTTGACAATCTTACTGTCATCAAATTAATATCAATTGCTGTAATCCAATATTTTATTTTTTTTATTTTTGAACCATTTTATTCATATGATTTGTTTTACAAATTATGTTTATACAACTTTAAGCTAGCTTAGCTACAGTTGTATTCTAAAATAAAAATAATCCATGAAAAATGGGATGCAATAATTTTATTCACGAGTTTAAAAAACCTTAGATCGAATGTATTATTTTTCCTTTTTTTTAGATTAACGCTATGTGTACACTGTTCCTTTTTTCACTATTTTGTAACTAAAATGTATCAGCTTTGTCTATTTTTGGGATTTAAAATTGATTTTATAATACCTATAGTTTTGGTTTTGCAAATCGAATATTGGAAAAAGATTAAGCATTTTTGTTCATTTACCTAGAATTAAAATTTGATACATTTTTAGTTTTCGCATGTTTTTTTCTAATATTATAAGCATGCTTGATAGATAGTTATAGCAGACATTGATTAATAGGACAGGAAATACCTACATTTAACGACGTTTTTTTTTAAATTAATACCATAAATAATAAATATGAGCATTTCGTATTTAGCAAAAGATAATAACTAACAAAATACATAATTATTACTATTGTTTATGAATTGCTTTCACTTTTTCCGTGTAATCTTAATATCCTTTTTTTTGACAATAACATTTTTATAATGTCGCAAAAACAAAATTAAACTTATTTCCTGGCTTTTTTCTCTTGTCTTGCTTTTATAAGTAGTTCAGTTAAATAAAGTTTTCTTGCATTAATTCTGGTACAAATAAGTTTCAGCGGTAAAAAATTGTTAATAAATCATGAAGGTAGGAGACGATGTCACGTGGTACGAATTTAAAATAAAAGAAGCTGATGCAACAAGTTAGATTTAAAATAATGAAAAATATTAGTGATGGGTCGCTTGGAAAAGTCCACGGGCAAGACCAGAGATAACCAGGAGATGTACCTAACTACTAACAAATATCGTGCGGCCATGAATAAGAAATATTCTAAGGGACACAGTAGGGTATAATATCCGCTGTTGTCATTATTAGTAAAGTGTGTGTATTAAAATATTCGCTCAAGAAAACGATTTACCTCCCACTCTTTTGTCACAAGCTGAATTTTTCACAGATGAAAGGTCATGATAAGGTAGGTAATACAAAATTAGACTGTGCAGAAGGGCACTATCATCAAAAATCCAGATATTGATACCACCGAATAAAGAAAAAAAAAACTCATTTTTTGGTCAAATGCACAATAAAATCTTTGTAGGGAGTAATTGTTCATACTTATTTAAAAAAAAAAATCATTTGCATTAGCCCTTACGGCCGAAAAAAAATATAACCGTAAATATCTTGGTTTTAGCCCTTCAACAATTTAGTTAAAAAGTCGTCTTTTTTAAATATACCACTCATTTAACAAAAAACGAAGGCCTAAATGTAAAAAAAAACATTCTTTATAAAATTTTTGCTTATGTGTTGACAAGGTAACAGAGTAAACACCATATTTTTTGCTTTTGAATTAACAAAGATATAACAATAAACGATGAGAGATGTCATAGGTTTATGCTGTAATTAATTCTCACCGCCAATTTTATCGACTCTCAGTGTATCTTTCTCTTCACCTTCAAACGTAGCATAGCTCTGTTTGTCTCTACGTGCCGGCTGATTTATCACATTATTGATATGGTAGGATTTTTTCATTTTTTTTATTATATAACTTCTCGTTATGTTCCATTGGGCAATGTGTCATATTACCTGTTTTTACTAAAGAATTAATGAGTGTATGTGTTATATTATATTAAATTACCTAATAAATTGGGAAAAAATATAGATATTTTTGCATCTTTATTATATCTACATTCATCCTGTTGTAGCTGAATATATTTGGGTAAGTTATAAGTTTTCGTTTAAAATTTTAATTATGGATTTGTTGTTGCAAGTAACAAAGACAAAAATTATATCAAAATAGGAAAGCCCAAAAGTTGCATATCATTTAAAGAATATGCTCATATATTTGTAAACATTATTTTTAGAAATAAATTTAATGCTCAAATGATAAATGTGGTATTTGATCATTATAAAGGACATTCTATCAAAAATACAACACGTCAAAAGAGAGGATTTCAGAAATCAATTGATATAGAAATTGACCGACCTAATATTCCACTTCCGCAACAATAGAACTTGTTTATTCTTTCGATATTTAAAAAAAGACGTTTAACAAATTTTTTGCCAGAGCAACTTCTTCAAAACTCCATTCAGCAAAAGCATATTCAATTTCTAACTAGTGGCGGATTCGCGAAAATCAATAAATATGGGAAGAATTTTGAACCATCAAAAGACGATTTTTTAAATTCAAATCACGAAGACGCTGATAATCGTATCTTATTGCACATATTGTCAGCCAAAAATTCGGGGCATTCACGCTGCATTATTTATTGCAACGATATAGATGTCTTATTAATTTATTTTAAGAAGTTTTTGACTAAAGATATATGGTTCAGAACAGGGCGAGGAGACTCAAGACGATTTCTAGCAGTACATTATTTAAATTTGGATAAAAACCTTCTAAAAAATGTGCCTGCTTTTCATTCTCTGACCGGTTGTGATATAACCAGCCAATTGTCCGCATTGGGAAAAGAACCTGTTGGAAAACCTACCTTGAACACCATTACTTTTTGGATGTATTTGGCACTGATCAATACTCTGAAAACATATTCTCTAATCTTGAAAGAATTTTCATAAAAATTTATTCAAAACTGCCAATGTTACTTCCATTAACATTTTGAGGGGATAATTGGCCTCTTCAAAAACCATCGCAAAATTGCGACCAACTGAAGACGCCCTAAGACTACATTGTTTAAGATGTTTTTACCAGCTAAATATTTGGCTAAGCTTTTTAAACCCTGATGCAGCTTCCTAATGTTGAAAAGTATGGATGGAAAGTAGATCAAGATGGAAGTCTGATACCTACTTTTAAGACTCTGCCCGACCTGCCACCAGACATAACAGAACTGACATCATGCAAATGCAAAAAAGATACTATACAATATTCTAACAATAATATTCTGTTCTAGAATGTGGAAGCAAAATTTGCAAATGTAGGAAAAAAATATTTGCTGTATCGGTTTCTGCACCTTTATGGCACAGAAAAACTGCAGAAATAGTTTGACCACAGCCGCTAATGTTTTGGAAAATGTTGATTCGTGTGGTGAATCTGATTCTGATTAGTTTGAAAGTCTTGTAATTATAAATTTTAATATTATTAATTTATGCTTTATATACTTCCTTCCAATTGTTATTATTATAATTTATTTATATTGGGGATTTATTGTATTTTGCAAAGCAATAACCTTACTGTTTATAATTGATACTTCAATAAATACCTTCAATAAATAGTTTATATTTTCTTATTTTTCATTTTCCACCAAAAATAAAAAATAAATCTTAAAGTAATTAATACACCTTATATTCAAAGTGGATAAATCAATAATCCCGGTATAAAATAATATAAGAGAGTCAAACTGATTGCATACATTTCAATACTGAGAGAGATGCATTAAAAGTCGAGAGGCTCTGCCTTTAATCTTTGCTTTCTAGTAAAACCATGACATCACTAATTGTTTATTGCTATATTGTTGTTAATTTAAAAGCAAAAAATATGAGGAAAGTACTTTTACCTTGTCAATACAAAGGCGAAACTTTTATAAAGAATAGTTTTTTTTTATTTAGGCCTTCATTTTTCGTCAAGTGAGAGGTATATTTCTAAAAGAAGATTTTTTATACATATTTGTAGACATTTGAAACCGAGATATTGACGTTTAAATTTTTTTTCGACCATAAGGGCTAATGTAAATGATTTTTTTTAAATAATGATAAAAAAATACTTCCTACAAAGACTTAATTGAGCATTAGAACAAAAAAATAAGCATTTTTTTTTTTCTATACGGTGGTATCAATAACTCGATTTTGTATGATAATGCCCTTTTGCACAGTCTAATTTTATATTACCTCCGGAATAAGGGTTAGCTTATCATGTACTTTCTTCCCTGAAAAACTCAGCTTGTGAAACCGAAGTGGGAGGCAAAGTTAAAATAAGTTTTAATCTACACCATACCATTTCATTATTCTCGTTTTGTTTACAAAATTATTTACATATATTTAAAACGCTAAAATAATTCAACCTATTTTATTGCAACTGAACCCAAAATTTTTTGAATCTTAGTTATATTAAATTTAACTAAATTAGATGTAATTTTAGTAAATTAGATGTAATAATTTTCAACAAATTCCAAAACCTAGTGATGTTAGATTGGAAGTGGCAACAGGGCTTACACCGGCATGGAAATTTACGTTATGTAGTATAAGCTCGCGCAGTTATTCATTGATAAAACTACGTAAAATCCTTCTCTCTATCCCTTCTCTTACTTCTCACCTTTCGTCGCCTCGCCCCGCGTCTAGAAATAGAATGTATACATTGCGAACCATTGTTGGCACCGTGAATATTATATTTTATCAATGATTGCTTATATCTCTGTTATCTCTGGGCAAGACCAACGGACTAGTCTGAAAAGTTTACTAGTCCAAACAGACTTTTCAAAAGTGGAAAAGTGTATTTCACATGCGCGAAATTATATTAACTAATTGGTCTGAATTTCTTGCAAAGGCAGAATATGGTTTAAAAAAGAAGAAACGACAAATGTTTAACGACTTCTATATGTTTTAATAATGTTTTCCAATTAGGCATTCAAACGACCTGTCAAATTGCTGCCAGTGGTAACTGACACTTTAGATATGGCAACCATGTGGGCCTGTTGTCATTGATAGGATCAATGATACATATTTAGTTATATAGATTTCTCAAAGCGGGTCGTTTTCGAGCAGCCATATTGCCTGCCAAGTGTTTATTTTTTGAATCAGTTTAGCAAAAATGTGTTTTAAATCCAATTTCCAGCCTTTGAATATTTAAAAAAAAAATAATTGCCTACATTTTTACTTCAAGGCATACGCTTATGTTTATTTTTAAAAACAAGGATAATCAATCTATATAACTTATTTATTTCATTGACGCTAGCAAACAACCAGACCCACAGTGTTGCAATATTATAACCTATCAAAAGGGCAGCCATTTGGTTTGGAATGCCTAATTTTCGTTTCATATGTTAATAAAATAAATTCGTGAAAAAATGACCAAAAAATCCAAAGGTTGGAAGTATTTTACAAATGATTTCCCCAAAAAAACTAAAATAAAAATGCAAATATTATTCCCAAAGTGTTTTCGAAAAACATCCAAGGTGGAGAATTAACTGTGTGTCTTCTATACTCAAGGACGACTATTTTTCACGGTGACTTTTCATTACTTTTCACTACTTTTTCAGACATATCCGTCGGACTAGTCCAAATATTACTTTTTATGAAAAAGCCCATCACTAATAAATATTCTTTTTGATATCTTAAATTCTAGAAATGTACTTCAGTTTCGTTGTAAAAAGCCTTTGTCTTTAAAAAAAATTAATTAATGTATATTAGTGCCTTAAAAACATTTTAATTTTAAACAACGACTGACATTTACAGTTTTTTCCAATGTGCCAAATGTCATAAGACCACATATAGTTTTTCTTTGATTGTATTTGCCCACATGGAAGCCTCCTCAATAACCCCACCGGTAGTTTCCGGGAGCTATGTTCAAACTCGAGAAAGTAATTTTCAAGATTTTCATGAGAAATGTTGTATGTCATCGTAAAAACAATATTTTTAAAGCCAGTGAGAATTCACTGACTGATTCTCTTGGTTTATTTCGAGAAAATTAAAATTTTCCACAGAAATTAATTTTCACTGGCTCCAAAAACACTGTTTTCACGTTGACGTATGACATTTGTCATAAAAAATTTAAAAAGTTTGAAAATAAGTCCGCAGCTTACAAAAAAATATTAGTAGGTACATGTCGAAGTTTTCGTGGAAATGTATTCCTCTAGAACTGCTTCGAATTTTAAAATGTCCTGTACGTCAAACCAACGAATTTTAAAGAGGATATAGAGCCTTGGCTTATTAGAAAGTTACGATGCTAGACGATACTGAACATGAACCAGACCCCACGCTATCAGGATATACAAAATATATTTGCATGGGCGCCACTTTTTTTTGAATTACAGTACATGTTTCCACTGTAGCACTGGAAGATAGACGTACCGTTAATTCAGAATGATACACTACAGTTTGACTCAGATTCTTCCAAAGGTTCGCTGAAAACGTCAAAGAGGAAGGATCATCTTGCATCAAGATAGCGCTCGAATCACAATGTTGCTCGAAAAAATGATTATTTGAGAACATAGAAATAAATAGATCACTCGATGTATAGTCAAGATCTAACACTTAATGACTTCTTATATGAGCGGATAAAGGATAAATTATGGGATTTAAGTTTTACATCGGCCGAAAAAACGGCCTTTAAAAATGAAATAAACAAACTACGGCCAGAAGATTGGAAAAATGTTTTTAAGAATAATATTCGCGGATGCAAAAATACATTAGAATACTTTAAAAAATTATAAAGAAATGTTTTTTGTAAATGAACTGTGCTCAACGCAAAGAGAACAGCCATCATTTAATACTTTCAACACTTGATCTTTTTAAATGAGATCGATGCTAATATTTACATAAAAGTGAGTAAAGTTTTATGCTTCTGCTCTCTGAAAATAATTTTACCGCTGTTACATACCGTTTGCTATTCGAATTAATGCAATTAAATACATTATCCTTCTCACATAACAAATATTAATTGGATTCGCATGCTTGTTTTAAACAGTGAAATCACTTTCTATCTAACGCACAAATTGTCAATTTAGGGCGAGGGAACGAATTTCGAAAACAGACCCGGCGGCAATCCCGCCGCCGATTATAGCGAGGGCGCTAGTCACGTTTTGGCCGTCATTCACCAAATTTTGAACCACCATCGAGCGCTCGAACAAAAATGGCACGCCAAGAAGATTAAACTACATCAAAGGCTGGCTTTGAGATTGTTTCAGGAAGACGTTAAGCAGGTAAGGATGTGGATTTAACTAAGGCGCAGAATATCGAACACTTTTGAATACGAAATAATTATTAACCCAAATTATACATACATAGTACATACCTGTTTTTTAAATAACTTCAGTAACAGTAGACATATTTTTTTTAATGCAATTAAATTATACTAAATCCCTGATTGAGAAGTCTGCGTTATGATATATCATCCCCCTTATCACGTATAGGCGTATCTGAATGAAGTAATTTTTTCAGGAGAGAGGAAAAACGAAAATAAGTTGTATTTAATCCAAATAAAATCCTTTTTTTATGTATTTCAAATATATTGTAACGATAGTTGTAATTTATTTATAGTTTATTTATTTAAAACACACTATTTACAATTTATTTATGACTTACTAATTAATGTATATAATACTTAGGCACTAACTCACAATTCTAATTTATTTATTACAATTTAACTTTTGTGTCCAACACTTTATTCGAATCTGCCCGTCCGTCGATAAGTCGTGCTATTTATATCAAGCCAACTCTGTAACTAGAATACTCTGGCCTTTCTAGACGTTCTCGAATGTCACCCGAAAATTCCATCTGTATGACTCGACGGCCACGTATTGCTTGTTCTAGTATTTTCTCGAGAAGCGGACCGATTGTCTCTATACGTCAGCGGTGTTTCGATCATGAGTCGGGTGGCAGCCACATACTTTTATTACTATACGAGGCAAGAGAGAGGTCCGACAGGCCCAACATAGGACGCGGCCATTTTGAACCCTGTGACACAGTTTACAGCTGAAGAATCAGATCGCTCACTCTGCGTCGGCACTTTTGATCTCAATGTTTCAGTTTATACACTGTGCAACTCGGATAATACAATATATGACAACCGACTATAATAAAACAGCAGTCTTCTGCGTATCCTGAATTTGTATCCCTGGAGTGGATGTTATTTTGGAACTTTCAACTGGTCCGAGTGAGCTAACTGATTCTTTAGCAATAATAACTGATTCTTTAGCAATAAACTGTGACTTCAAAAATAATATTCACTGACACTGACAGCAGCAAGCAAAATATCAGGTGCGTTTTAATCATCCGCTTCTGCTTCCGGAATTGTCGGTTTAGTCGTTTTAACCTGTCAGATTAAAACAAGAAAACCGACAATTCCGAAGCAGAAGCGGATGATTAAAACGCACCTATTAAAAATATTGCGCCAAGATGTAGGCAACACGTAATAAGGGTTCAAAATGGCGGAGTTTTCTATCTCCTTTTAAAAGGCACTTAGAAAGCTGCGCAGTGCGATCATTCTCCGTATAGTAAAAGAAAATCGAAGTATGTGGGTGGCAGCACATACTTTGATTACTATACGAGGCAAGAGAGAGGTCCGACACGCCCAACATAAGGCGCGGCCATTTTGAACCCTGTGACACAGTTTACAGCTAAAGAATCAGATCGCTCACTCTGCGTCGGCACTTTGGATCTCAATGTTTCAGTTTATACACTGTGCAACTCGGATAATACAATATATGACAACCGCCTATAATAAAACAGCAGTCTTCTGCGTATCCTGAATTTGTATCCCTGGAGTGGATGTTATTTTGGAACTTTCAACTGGTCCGAGTGAGCTGATTCTTTAGCAATGAACTGTGACTTCAAAAATAATATTCACTGACACTGACAGCAGCAAGCAAAATATCAGGTGCGTTTTAATCATCCGCTTCTGCTTCCGGAATTGTCGGTTTAGTCGTTTTAACCTGTCAAATTAAAACAAGAAAACTGACAATTCCGAAGCAGAAGCGGATGATTAAAACGCACCTATTAAAAATATTGCGCCAAGATGTAGGCAACACGTAATAAGGGTTCAAAATGGCGGAGTTTTCTATCTCCTTTTAAAAGGTACTCAGAAAGCTGCGCAGTACGACCATTCTCCGTATAGTAAAAGAAAATCAAAGTATGTGGGTGGCAGGCTTGAAGGTCGCTCACTAGACAGGGTTGGCTCCGCGTCACAATATTATTCTTGTATGTGATGTAGAAACACACTTTCTTTACAACTATTTACATATAAATCATTTAAGTTGTTATATTACATAACAAAGTTTGTAAGATAAAGCACATCAAAAATTGAAAGTTACTTTTTGTATACTATAAGGTATATTTAAGAAATGGCAAAACACGAAGCAACTAAGAACAACCTTTTATTATACAGAAATGAATAGTTATAAATAGTTTATTATAAAATCTTAAACAAATTTTTTCATCGTTTGAAAAATTAAAATAAACAATAATTATGAATTATAAAAAAATATAAAAAATAATCTCTTGTTTCGCTTCGCAAGAAAGATTATTCTGGGAGTCGAACTACAGGTGTCTCATCAGTGCACGACGACACCAAGTCTTCATATTTCCGTTTGGCCACTTTTGCATGCTCGTTGTTTAAAGCGCGGATTTGTATTAGATAATGTACCCTTAATCGTTTCAGAATAATTGAGAATCGTATTCTTTGTCCAGATGACTCGTCTTGAAAAATAAACTGCTGTCGATTTCTTCATTAACTTTATTTTCGTAATTTTGGGCAACTTCATTTTATTTTCTGTTTCCTTAACAGAAAAAAATTCTGAGCTCTTTTTAAAAAGTTTTAAAATTAATAAAATCGGTATAATTTAGTAGTATAACTCTACAGGGTTATTTCCCTCGATCTAAGCGAACTTTACGGCAAAGCTGAGATGAAACGTATCCCTCCCCTGCAGCAGAAATTGTCGTTAGCAAAATGCTTTTTTATACTTCGTTCGTTTATAAAATAAAGAGCTCTCTCTAGATACTCGTACACTTTACCGTAGTATCATAGCTTTTTGTATAAAATTTTCATACCACATCCTACCTGTATTACTTCACAATTTACAGATTTTAGTTCATTAGCATACGCAAAATTTTTCGAACCATTTTTCCAAAGCACTAGAACCATCCATCTTAATTTAAACAAACCCCTACTCTCATACACTTTTTATTCTTAAATTTTGAGATTATAATCCCACTTTAAACAGGAGTGCGTTCAGTTATGCCCATGCATGTTTAACAATGTCTTGAATACCAAGTACAGTCGTATTTGTTTTCACGCTTATGTTGGGTTATTCTCGTTGATTTCTCCAATCAAATCCAACACTCTCGTCAGGGGAGGATGTTTTAGTCAAATCAATTTGAAACTTTATTTTTTACTGTATTTATTTTACAATAAAATACCTTTCGGTTGTTGTATACCACAATTAACAATAATTTTTATCACTTAGAGTTTGTTGAGGCAGTGAATTGAGGAAACCGATCTAAATTCGCAAAATGAGTGTGTCTCATGGATGTCCACTCACCTCGAACGATTACACAATAATTAATTTTAACCTTTTATTATAACTTCCGGCTCTAACAAAAAAAAAGGAAGTTCCTCTCTTACTTTATTAGGCGCAATATTTAAATTATTACACTTAATTGGACATTGCACCTGATTTATTGTAGGGGTAGTTATGCCTTTCCCAATCTACTATTATGCAACCAGTATTACACCTAAATGTACATATGGTTGAGTATAACAACAATACTAATGTTTTGAACGGTTCCACAACAGCCTATATCTGAAAAAGTATTTAAAGCCTTTTGCATATACGTCTTAAATTTGTTTTGAATTTGTGGTACTACTAAAGTAGATACAGTTACGCCACTTTGTGAGATAAAAAGGCAGCCAAAAACCGGCGTAACTCAGTGTTACACATTTTTGTTAGATACTCCTATTCGCTCAGTGCGAAGTCATGGTAGGGGAAGCAAAAGCGATACTAGCGTTAGCTGCGGATAATTCGTGCATTTTAGGGCGATATTTTGTAATTTTGGCATATCAAATACACGTGAACTTTCTACTTTTGACTTTCCTGTCTGTATACAGATAAGGAAAGTATAGGAATCATGATTTTTTCGATCTCGAGTTTTCGACGGATTTTTACGTTTTGAGGTCCCCTGAATCCGTTTTGACTATTTTCGCGATGATGTCTCTCTCTCTCTCTCTCTCTGTCTGTGTGTGTGTGTGTGTGTGTGTGTGTGTGTGTGTGTGTGTGTGTGTGTGTGTGTGTGTGTGTGTGTGTGTGTGTGTGTGTGTGTGTGTGTGTGTGTGTGTGTGTGTGTGTGTGTGTGTGTGTGTGTGTGTGTGTGTGTGTGTGTGTGTGTGTGTGTGTGTGTGTGTGTGTGTGTGTGTGTGTGTGTGTGTGTGTGTGTGTGTGTGTGTGTGTGTGTGTGTGTGTGTGTGTGTGTGTGTGTGTGTGTGTGTGTGTGTGTGTGTGTGTGTGTGTGTGTGTGTGTGTGTGTGTGTGTGTGTGTGTGTGTGTGTGTGTGTGTGTGTGTGTGTGTGTGTGTGTGTGTGTGTGTGTGTGTGTGTGTGTGTGTGTGTGTGTGTGTGTGTGTGTGTGTGTGTGTGTGTGCGTGCGGTGTGCGGTGTGCGGTGTGCGGTGTGCGGTGTGCGGTGTGCGGTGTGCGGTGTGCGGTGTGCGGTGTGCGGTGTGCGGTGTGCGGTGTGCGGTGTGCGGTGTGCGGTGTGCGGTGTGCGGTGTGCGGTGTGCGGTGTGCGGTGTGCGGTGTGCGGTGTGCGGTGTGCGGTGTGCGGTGTGCGGTGTGCGGTGTGCGGTGTGCGGTGTGCGGTGTGCGGTGTGCGGTGTGCGGTGTGCGGTGTGCGGTGTGCGGTGTGCGGTGTGCGGTGTGCGGTGTGCGGTGTGCGGTGTGCGGTGTGCGGTGTGCGGTGTGCGGTGTGCGGTGTGCGGTGTGCGGTGTGCGGTGTGCGGTGTGCGGTGTGCGGTGTGCGGTGGGCGGTGTGCGGTGGGCGGTGTGCGGTGGGCGGTGTGCGGTGGGCGGTGTGCGGTGGGCGGTGTGCGGTGGGCGGTGTGCGGTGGGCGGTGTGCGCGCGGTGTGCGCGCGGTGTGCGCGCGGTGTGCGCGCGGTGTGCGGGCGGTGTGCGGGCGGTGTGCGGGCGGTGTGCGGGCGGTGTGTGTGTGTG